CCTGGAGCTGGGCCCCAGTCTGCTCAAGACCTTTGCAAATGCGGGCTGATTGGGTGAGAGTCACTATGTGGTCACCTTTCTCTTATGTGTTCAGCTTGCTGGTCTGGCTGATTCCCATAACAACTGTGGGCAACCTCGGGTCTGTTTGTACCACCTGTTGTGGGCCGAGTTACGTCCTTTGTGAGATCGTTGGGGGTAGCGTCACTTATGTACCAGCTGATTGATCTGTTTGTACCCCCAGTGATCATTCATGGAATGTCCTTCTTGTCTACAATACAGTCTGTGTATTGGTTCATCTTCCTGCTGGTGGTATAATTTTTGTTGGGCCTGGTCATTGGCAGAACAGATGTTTGCATAAACTTCTGAGTAAAATGTAAGGTAGTTTATACAAAACTTGCATATAGCTATTTTCTGTATAGAGCACACACTAAAGATGTAATGCAACATTTTCTTTTTCCTTGATGAAATAGTCAAAATAGGGCATCCTGTACAACTTTGTCTGTTTTTATCACATGAATATCAGAAGACAGTTTTGTAATATCACAAACATTCAGATAGATACCATTATCATTTTCACATCCATTTTCTTGTCTTGCAAGATTTAATAACAGAATAATTTTACTTAGTTTTAAAGGAATGGTCTTAAGTTAACACTTTTATGGTGAAGTTTTGTTTTTACCTTAAAGATGACTATAGGTCATGGGAAGTTCAAAGAAGGGAACCTAGTAAGTTGGAGCATATATACCATCCACCTACAGAGAAGTTTGGAAATTCTACCACGTTTCAAGATGACTTTGTTCCTAGGGAACTGAATCCCAGACCAAGTTTTAAACCTCCGTGTGTAGCCAAGCTTTCAGACGTGCCTTTCGAGAGTGCTACTAGCCATCGCGCCTCTTACGTTGCTCATCCACTGGAACCAAAATTTGTGAGAGCAAAGGAAGAGTACAAGCCAAGCAACCAACCCTTTGAAGATCTCACAACCCACCGGAATGATTTCAGAGGATTACCCGGGCAACTTGCAAAGAGCTGCAAGCCTGAAAATGCACAAGTCGGATCCAATGCTCATTTTAATGGGGTCACCGAATTCCAGGCCCGTTTCCAGCCGTGGTCGGTCTCTTTGCCTGAGGTCCGCAAAACAAAAGAGTACGTTCCACCCGCAGGCAACATGGATTTGAACTCCACGAGCCACCTGCATTACGTTAAGCATGAGATTTCTCCTGCTGTCCCAATAAGACCAGTTTCTAATAGAAGACGAACCAATGCCCCTTTTCAAGGGAATACTACTACCAAAGAAGACTTTAAAGCTTGGGGCAGCTGTCGTCAAGAGATTATTAAGAAACAACAAGAAATTCCAAAACCCACTGGAAAATTTTCTGATTTAACTACATTCAAGTCTCATTACATACCACATCAGATCATTCCAGCTCAAAGTTGCAAACCTGTACATGCTATAGTTCCCAATGCAGCTGCTTTTCAAGATGAAACTACGTATCACACAGAATATACTCCAAAGAAACAAGAGATCTGCCCAGCAAATTACCCATCTCCTCCAGGTTATGTCTACCTAAACACAGATTCTCGTGGCCACAAATTCTTCTGCCAGCTTACTCCAGAAATTGCTAAGTCAAATACTAGTCTTGTTCCAAAGGAAGTAGCTGTTGTGTCATAATACTTAAATGCAATAATATCTTCAAGCACCCTCGTTAAATAATTGAAATCCTACTAGTTCATTTTTTCCTTAAACAATACTGAAAGCAAAATTAATCATGCAAATTCTGCTTTTAAAAGCATATAAACAAATAACTTGGAAAAAAATCAAAGCAAAAAGAATTTTTTTTTAGTTACAAAACTAATATAGATTTGCCAGCTATTGTAGGAATAATGCATCTTACATGGCATCCACTCTTTTTCTGATCATGCATGCAAGTTTCCTTGCCTTCCCAGATTTCATTATGCCCCATCACAAGCATATGAATTGTCCAATCAACTCTTGTGGATGTTCTGCAAATCAAATTATTATCTTTGCAAAATAGCAAGTATCTTTTTATCATAACTTTTTTCATAGTAAGCAAATAATGCTGTAATAATCTAAATAATTAGTTCATCAGTCCAGTTTTTCTTCTCATCAATACTTTGAGTAATCTGATAAGACTTTTTTCTTTGTATTTTGCTACCCAAATCATAAGATAACATCCCATGACACCTGAACAGTCCTAACAACCTAGTTTTAGCTTTAGCCGTCATTACTTTGCCTTCACTCAGTTCTGAGGAGTATAAAGGTCACACTGTAATTTCTGATAGTAATTAACAAGATGCAACCTTGTTTATTTTTCTGTACACATAATTTAAATCACTGAGACATAAAAAGCAGGTCCTTAGACTCTTTCTCCTAATTTCCCTGATAGTGTTTTTTTCATCCTTACTTCCAAAGGAAACCAAGCTGATTTAAGGCTTTGGACACACTGATACACTGTGTCCTCCTCAATTGAGTAATTTTTTTAACCCAGTGTGCAAATTCAATCAAATTTCACAGATGATAATTTTTCAAGTTGTTAAGGTAGAAGGTGAGGAAGCAGAGAGAATGCAGCTCAGAAAGTTAACATCAATCCACTGCAATTTTTCATCCTGCTATCTGAGTTTTAAAGCTAACCATCCTCTTATCACTGGCAAAGTTCATCACAGAGGCAGTCTGAAGGGGGAAATGGCAGAATACTATAAAGGTGTATATAGAAGTAACAGGAAATAGTGTAAACTCAGGCAAGAAAAGAATTATCAGCCAAGATGCCAAAATCTCTAGACAGCCTGGCTGCAGTCTGCTCTTCAAATAATTGCTTGTTACAAATGCAGAGAAAACTTTTTTTTGTAGAAGTGGTATGTGTAATGGTTATGTTTCTGTATGAGATATTTTATATTTTTTTCTATGTATCTTTGCCTGATTTGGGGAAAACTGGGTGAACTGATTTCAGTCCTATTCTGTTCATAATTTAAGAAAGTCCCAATAAATCATTCTATGATTAACAGTATTACCATGATCTGTCACAGTACTCCAGCATGATTTTTTTTCAGTATTGCATATCTTGTGTGATTGGTATAGGGCAGTCAATGGGTTCTGAAAAATTGTATGCTCATACTTCATAAACCAAATCACCAATAAAAGCACTAAGATCAACGATGGAAATGTTGAAAGCAGGAACTGGATCACATACAAGGAAGAAGCTGAATTGAGTCTATTAGCTGTTCATAAAAGCAAAGCATGAGAGAGCTCCAGACATTATTAAAGCTTCAGATACTTTTAGATTATTTTTGTCTTTGTACTGTGTTTTTGTAATATGACTTACTCTGTTAATGAAATAACAATTCAGTTAAAAGCTTCTCTTTCTGAAGATTATGCACATCCCTAGCTGGTAAAGACATGTTTTGAATTTGGAATTAATAAAGACAATGAGATGTAAAGCTGTGATATCCTAAAAGCAGGACAGGGAAAAGCCCAATTCATTGTCATCCTTCTGTACCACAGAAGAAAACAAACACACTTTTCTTTATGAAACTTGAGTCATTCTCTAGCTGGCCATAGCTGAGGAAGCAAAGTCAAAACTTTGCACAGTTACCCAAGCCCATATCCTATACACAATCCCAGTGCCTCACTTGGGAAGTTTACAGAAGCTCCTAATATCCTCCAGCTTTCTTTTCTAGAAAGACAGCTCACTGAGAAATGCAATCTGAATCCATGAAGTTCTGTGTGCCTGCGTGTTCTCCTGAAAATTGTCCCTCCTCTGAGTCTGTGAGTGAGCCCAGATGCTTTCTGTAGTTTTCACAGCTGTTTTTTTAGCTCTTAACCCCTTTCCCTGCTTAAGTTATGGGAAGTCATTTGCTGCCATTTACCAGAACAGTACAACAAATTTTGAGAGAAGTGGAGGGCATATTCTGATATATTTTACTGTTCCTCTGCAGATGTTTTTGAAGACTTTTTTAGGGTAGACAGGGCATATTCCCTTTCATTTTGCCTTGACGTTTTCCCCTGAGTTTAACAGTGAAAGAGAGAAGCCTTTACAGTTGAAAGAGCCGCACCCGACTGATTATGCTTCTAGGAAAAGTATCAAATGATATACCCTTCAGTGAGTATTCAGTGCTTGAGGTCTACTTTCCCATAAGCAACTTATCACTGAAATACAGACAAAATGAACAGCAGGATGGAAACTAGTATTTCTCAAAATAACAGCTGTTAAAAAAAAGCATTTTCTGATGTCACGCTAAGCCAAGATGTAAAAGTGGAGAAGGTAAGGAAAAAAAGAAAGAATGCATTGGTGATGCAAAAGGAAAATTGAGTAGACCCATGCACCTTTGCCAGTGTTACCAACCAGGATAAATCTGAAACGCCAGCATTTCAGTGCTAGACATTTGTCTTCAGCTTACATTTTTTAAAGGATTTTCTTGCTCATATTTTTTTCAGAGACTCTTCTTTCTAATGACTGTTAACACACATTGAATATTCTGAAAGAAGTTTATTCTCCATGTAGCTATTCCCATCACCCACTACATACAAAAGAGCTGTTCTGTTGGATCCAAATGAGCTTTCCTTAATGGAGGAAGGCAAAGAAATCTGACTATTCTACCTTTTCACAGACTCCTGATTATAAATTTCAATGAGTCAGAGATGACTTATTTGGGTTTGGGCAAATTCTCTTCCCCACTTTCTTAGTCAGATTATATCTATGTCACCTCTTAATAGCAGTGCAAAGCAGACTGTAACAAAGCTGAGAATCTGTCTGATCAGCTGTCACAAATAAGAAACAATCTTAGTTTTGAAAAAATTCCAGAATCCTAGATATGGTAGGTTGATAAAATAACACTTGGAATGAAAGCATAGCTACCAGGAAAATCATGGTAATAAACAATCTCTGAGTAATCACAGTGTTGAATAATCAAACTAGATTTTATTTCAGAAATACCAAAACTACGTTGAAAAAAGCTAAAATCTTCAGTTACTGGAGAAGCAATAAAATAACCTACAGAGGAATGTCATGCCAATTGCAATAACAAAACATTTACAGCACTGCTTCTGTATAGCATGCATACTTAACCAAAGGCAAAGCAACAAACAATTGCTATATGTTAACATTTGAAAACTTTAAATATAAAGGAAAAACATGAATAAGAAATGTAGGTAATAAGAAAAAATATATGTCCAAAAATCTTTATTAAACACTGTACAAAATAAAATATTGCACTTTTAAATCAGACAATAAATATCTACAAAAGTATCTTACAAATGTTTTCTTTTAATTTAAAAAACTGCTTACACAATCAAGACCCATTGCTGATTAAAAAGGTAATGATCAGGAATATCCTCTCCTTGCAGTCAGCCTTGGACACAATAGTCCACATTAAACATTTTCTATACAGTAGTGCTAATCTAATTTTCAGTGATGCAAACCCATTGTGCAGGAATG